GCGGGCGGGAGCGAGACTCGAGTAACGAGTAACGCCCGAGAGCCAGGCGACGCGGAACCCAGCGGCGCCCCGAGCCCACTCCCGGGCTGCGCGGGCCTCCGGTTTAATAAAAGGCCACGAGGCGGGCTCCTGGGTGCCTGCCCTGTGATGGATGTGAATCGTAGATGGAAAATGATAGTGCCACTCTCCTTTTGAAGGAGAGGGCAGGGGCCGACTTCTGGGAGATTTGGGTATAGGAAACCATTGGGACATTTCATTGTTTAGGGAGTCGACAAGGATGCCTCTTGATCTTTTGCCTCCCACTCTCCTTTTGAAGGAGAGGGCAGGGGCCGACTTCTGTTGTTTAGGGAGTCAACAAGGATGCCTTTTGATCTTTTGCTTCCTCCTCTGGGTGTTAAGAAAAATATCTGAACACTTACAAGCTCTATAGAATCATGGCATTTCCATTTTGTTTCCATTTCTGTACTAAATTATTTTTGAATAATAGCAAATAATTACAGCTTGTGTTAGGTAGCGTGAAGAAGGGCTGGATTAGAAAGCAGTGCCTGTGGTAGTAGGGAGACAGCTTTCAGGAGGTAACATTTCAGCCGTTCTCTAAAGGGGATGGGAATGGCAGGGATGTGGATAGTGTTCCAGACGGAGGGAACAGGATATGCTGCGAGTGCTGTGCTGGAGAACTAGCTTAGAGAGGGCATCGTGGTCAGAGCAAGAAGAGCAACATGAGATGAAGTTGGAGAGAAGCTAAGGTCTTGAATATTCAGTGCCTTGTAGATCATAGAAGGGAGTTTGGGTTTTCTTCCAAGTGCGAGGGTGCATGAAGGATTGTAAACTGTCCGGTATCACGGTTTGATTTACCAAGGAATGAGTGGCAGGAGAAAGGCTCTATTCTGGTGATTACTGCAGCTGCTGAAAATCAATTTTGTAGCGACGGTGACCCAATTTTAAGATCTTTCTGAGGCACCATCCTTCCAAGGGACCAGCAGATACCTGATATCAAGCACATCAATTACTTTGGACTCCCTTTTATCATAGATCAGTCAACAATTTGCCTCACTACAATAGTTCCTCGTTTTGGAATTGGATTTGGTTTTGCTGCAAACACCACCTACGGACTTATTGGATGCTTATACATTGTCACATTAGCCTATACACCATTCCCCTGACAAAGGAATTCATTTCATGAAAGAAGACAATGAGATAAAGACCATGGGCTCCACTGGACTTAAAATGTGCTCCATTATTCAGGTGCCAGATAAGGTTAAAGTATACAGTGATGTTCTTAATCAAGATTCTCAATTAATACAGAAATTGACACATAGGCTAATCAAATAGTGAGCTTTATCAATTAGATCAGTGCTACTTAAAATGTGATGTATAGGCCAAAGCCTATACTGTACTTACCAGCAATGAAATAGATATAGAAATTAAGAGGAGCACTTTGAAACTTTTAATAACTTGACACTACTGTGACAATTAAGCATGCAGTTTCATATTTATGAAAGCATTTTTCTGTGTTTGGTTGGTAACTAAAACACACAAAATTGATCCTTCACCACAGATAGTTATGCTCACTAAAGCTCTAGCTTTATGAACTTGGTTTAAAATAGTCTATTGGAATATGTTAGCTACTGCTTGTTGCCCTTAGTACTATGAGATAGACAGACTGGTTCAGCATGGCCTTTATGAAAGAGACTAGAGGCCCGGTGCACAAAAATTTGTGCACTGGGGGGGGGGGCCCTTAGCCGGGCCTTTGCCCTCTCCC